TTATCTGGATTGCTGCGATGGCCATGAGTTCGTGAAGAACAAGGAAGTTTGACTTGAAACATATCCCATGTGTCACGTTGGTGGTAATTATTGATTTAAACTATGATTGTTTTAATTTATTTTTTTAAATTAATCCAATATCCTTAAGTGTCGTCAATACACAAGTTGAACTCCTTAAGTTAATTGATGTTAGTATAGATCACGATTAATAATTTCTAGCACTCTATATATAAAAAGGGTCCAGTTTAAGAGTTAGGCCATGTAGAGAGTTTATTGGAGGGTTACTCTCTTACTTTGTCACCCAATAAGTCTAGAGTTTGTTCATCATCTTCAAAAAACCCCAAACAAAAAATTATTAGTGTCCGTGTGTGACACCTTGAATGGATTACAAATTACAAATTAATAAGTTAAGATCCCAAAGTAGCAATTTATTGAATTGCTACTTCGGGTTCTTAATGTAAAATCTAGTTTATAGTTTAAAGCAAATTACAAATTAATTAGATGCTATATTAAGAAGGGAGAATTGTAATGAGACCTCAAGAAAAAAAATTTAATTATCCTAAAATCTGTTGAGGATGTGTAAATATGATAAATAAAAGCAAAGATACGCTACCAGTAAAAAATACGTTTTAAACCATCCTCTGACGGGTGGTTTTTTTTTTTTGTAAATATTAGTAGATTTTTTAGACCCGTTCTAGATTCAACAGGTTTAAGATATACTTTCTAAATCGGGTGATTTACAACCGATCTAGAAGGTTTTAAAAATAGTTTTTGAAAAACTGAGGTTTTTTTTTCATGTAACGTCATTTCAAAAAACAAAATCATCCCATTTTTGGGAAAATTTGGTTGTTACACTAAACATTTATTAATTAAATATTTTTGAACAGTACTATGTTTCATAATTTAAAATTATATACCATGATTCAATGAATGTTAAAATTATAAGAAAATATTATGCCGAAATGGCTAGTCATTATTAGAGATTTAATTATTAGATAGACTAAGAGATCTAGTTGAGGTCTTCTTTGTTTATATAAAGACATGAGAGACTTGGTCATCATAAATTATTTCAAGTCTTGTTGGTTTAATAATTTGGTGATTTTATAAATTACTCAAGACTTCGAAAGCAGCAGGCGTTTCTGGAAACAGGGTAGAAGAAGCACGGAACATGCTCTTCAGACAAGTTCAGATCAAAAGAGTATCTGGGAAAAGCCACCAATCCGGCAATAAACAATACTAAAGCCATCTTTGATGGACTTAGTTGCAAAGGAGGCAAGGGGTAATTGGTACCATTTCGTTTTTAATATAAACCACTTGTAACATATTTCCGTATATTAAGAAATGTATTAAATTGACAAAATTTATTAATTTTACCCTTATTTATGTTTTCTTCCTCTACATTTACAAATTATTCTCATGTTTTTCTATTTTTTCCCCTCTCTCTAATAAGACTTAAATAAAGATAAAATTGAGAAACAAACATTAAGTATATTACAAATGACTTACATTTAAGATCAAAATTTTTCTTACAAGTTACTTACATTTAAAACCATAGATGTACAAGAGATGCATGGAATGATTATTACTTATTGGCAAGTAAATGGGGTTTCATTTAATTTGCTTCAGCAATCAAATCAAATGGCACTACTCTACGTGTGGGAAGGCAGCCATAGAATAAGCTGTCATGGATATCACAGGTAAAAATCCAAAAGCAAAAATATGTCAAAATCTGCTCCTTGGGGTAGCACACTTCATTTGTTGATTTTCGGCTCCTTAGTTAAGCTTTGTCACCTGTAAGTCAATTTTCCACGTTCCAGTTAACAAAAGATTTATTTTAATTATAACTGAATTTTTATCCAGAGCAAATGAGCCTTATTGATTTTTAATTTTACCCCTAGCAGGATGGAGGCGGCCAAGTTTTCATTTACGAGACCGTAAGAGTACTGCTATGGATGAACACATATGTTTCTTATTCTTATTCGAAAGTCTTGAGTGGTTGATTCCTGTAATAAAACACTCCTTAATATAAGATTCAGTTAATTAATAAAAAATTAATAAAGCTGCTAATTAAATTATCTTAATGTACTTATATTTTTTGTTTTTTTTCCAAACTAATCTGACTTATTTATAAATTTATATATAATCTAATAATATATATAAGTATTTTAAAGAGACCATGTAACATATTTTAAAATTAATTTAATAACTTCTTTAATCTCCTCCAATTAATTAATTTGGTGTTATATTAAGAATGAGAAGTAGTACATATATCATTTAACAACAGTGTCTATATTTAACAATAATTGCCACGTGTGACTTCACCACGACTTTCCTCACATGATATCAATTTGGTATAGAATATTGATATAAGTATATCTAAATAATTCAACACTTGATAATAATATCAAGAATATTTTATTGAAAAACAAAATACTACCTCCAATTCTTAATAAAGAGCCAACTTGACTTTCAATTTGATCCTAAATAGAAGATCCTAATTCATTTTATCTTTCATATTTATTTATTTATTCAAAGTAGCCTTTATAGTAGTTGTACATGTTTTAGTTCCAACAAATGGTAGTTCTAGCTAATATAGATGATTAGCAAGAGTATTCTAGAGAAAATAATACCTAATTAACTTAATTAATTTTCTCAATAACCTCAAATTAATGAATTACTCCTCTGGTCCAATTTATAGGACAAAGAGATAAGACATTTTTGATCCTATTTATAGGACACTAAGAGAAATTTGTGTATAGATATATAATTTTATCCATCATTTATTATTGTGTTGACTTTGTTTACATGAGGTTTAATGTATGTTAAATAGGAATAAAGTGAAAAAGTTGTTAAATTTTAAATGAAGGTTAATGAAGTTCAAGGTTTTTTTGATCTATGTGAAATACTCCTCCGGTCCTTATTATAAGACCCAATTTGACTTTTTATTTGGTCCTAATTATAAGACCCAATCCATTTTGTCTCTTATATTTATGCATTTTTTTCCAAGATAATCCTTTTAATAATGATAGTTTTAGTCAATATACTTAATTAGCAAGGATATTTTAGGAATGACAACACTTATTTATTATAAATAACCAACTTAACTTACTTCCTTAATCTCCTCAAATAAGTCAATTGGGTCTTATAATTAGGACCGGAGGAGTATATTGAAAGTGACTTATAAATAAAACTATAGGAGTAGTTCTTATATTAATTACAGGAGATAGATCAACATTAATCTAAAGTGATGCCATTACTTGAGTTTTAAATTAATTTAGCATGTAAAAATATAAAAAAAATTCATTAAAAAAAACTATATTAACATTAGTCTGAAGTGACGCCATTACTCTCCAGTCAATCAAAACAAAGGTTACAGTCCCTTCCCTCCCCCCTGCATATCTCCCCTCCCATTCATCAACCCAAACATAGCCTTTGCGGTGGCTTTAAAAGGACACGTGGATCTGACGAATCCATCGGTTGAATGGAGATCCGTCTTCAGATCGTGACACGTGGCCACATTCAACCATCTGAGGTACGGAGAATCCCAGCTACACAACCGAATCTCCATTCCCACGTCCGCATGAGTCAACGGCGCATCCGCCAACCTCTTTTTGTCCCACCTTGCCACGTGGGCACCCCTCCCACCCGCCACGTCATCATCACTTCAAGGACGAGTCGTGGAACTTTCGTAACCACGTCGTCGGAATTCACTATAAGTAAAACCATCGTCCCTTGCTTCTCTATCTCCCGCCTGAACCTCCAATCGCCCACGCGCGGCCCGCCAAACGATATCACGTTGACCATCGGCTTCTGGTGCTCGAGCCCGAAGGCCATTTTGATGTCGTACGCCGTGAGAATCGCCAGCACAGCCTCTAAATTGTAGCCAGTGAGGGTCAAGCTGAGGGTTTCACCATCGTAGGTTTGAAGAATCCGACGAATTTCTTCACGGACCATTTGTTGAAGGCACAAAGAATCACAAACTGCTGGAGTATAGAGACTCGGGAACCCACGTTGCACCATAGGTCCATCATATTCGTCCTGCTCTGTTTCTGAGAGGAATACGGGTGAGATTTGCACGTAAATTTTCCAGCCATTCCAAGCAAATCATTGTTCCTCGATATGCAATAACGACATCTCGACTTCTTCGTTGTCACGGACAGGTACATAGCCGATGTTGCTGGATCTCTTCTTCGTTAATATTTTCAGGATAAAAATAACTCTAACCTTATAAAGTTCTGCCTCCGTCTTTAATATAAAAACCAGTTAATTAATTTAACGTAGATTGAAAAAATTTATTAAGTTAGTTATTTATAATAAATAGGTGTTACTTTTTCTAAAATGCCCTTAGTAAGTATGTGTATTAACTAGAACTATCATTTGATGAAACATTTAGTACATATAACTACTATAAGGGCTACTTTAAAAAAAATGAATAAATAGAGACCAAATAGATCAGAATTTTATATTTAGAACTAAATTAAAAGTGAAATTAACTCTTATATTAAGGAGAGGAGGTAATATTCCAAGTTTTAAATCGTAGCAGTAATATGATTCTGAGCAGCATTAAATTTTTGTCCAATATTACATCTTATTTTGGTTCAAAAGCCCTGAGATGATGTTGAAGTGAGAATTCTGAATATAAGAGAGTAAGAGACGCAAGTGTTTATGATTTGATAATTTGGTCACCATGTGATGATCCCAATTGTATTAAAAACATCATGTTTATTAATTTCCACAAAAAAATCACGTTGAAGAGATCGAGTCCAGTCTTCTTTATTTATTACAAGAGATAGAGTCTTAGGCATTATAAATTATTTCAGGTTTCGTAGCATTATTGGGATAATTCTGACAAGTTACATTAAGTTTTTGCCCAATATCACATCTCGATGTCGTTCAAGACAAATAATATATTAAAAAAATTCCCACCATATGATGTTGAAGATGGCTATAAATAAAACCCTTCTAGGTAACAGGAAGGGTGAGCAAGACAAGTCAATCAATCATGATGATGATTAGCTTAAAACAAGTTTTGATATTTGGTGTTGGGTTAGTGGCTGCCTTAGGTTTGTATCACTTCAACCCCAAAAACACAAACCTGTTTTGGCCTCCAAACAACACCAATAATACAGACCAACTTATTAGCGCCCCCAACCCCAAACCAGGTTATGATTACTTTTTGTTGGCCCTGCGACTACCAGCCGCTTTCTGCAACCTTCAGACTCAGCCGAGAAAGTGCAATCCAGATCCTCCACTTCCCGAACACCAAGATAAGTTCACCATTCATGGACTTTGGCCTCAGTTGAATAATGCGAACCCTCCGTTATATTGTTCGCCGGCGCCGACCATGCAAGATAATGATGTAAACTCTCTTAAATAAATATTTCTTTTATTACTTTCTTCCTCTTCCCAATCAATATGTGTGTGTGTGTGTGCGCGCGCGTCAATGCAGCTTAAAGCGTTCGAGCAAGATCTGCTTGATTACTGGCCGGATTTGTTTTCTGCTCAAAGCTTCCAAAGCAGCAAGGGTTTTTGGCTAAGGGAGTGGAACAAGCACGGAACATGCTCTTCAAACAAGTTCAATCCACAACCGTATCTCGGAATAACTCTCGGTCTTGCCAAACAACATTCTAAAGGCATCCTTGATGGACTTATCAAGAAAGGAGGTAAGGGGAAAGAAATTGGTAGAGTATTATTTAATGTGCAAGATTGTTGATTATTTATTATGGCAAGTAATTGGATTTCATTTTAATTTGTTTCAGCAATCAAACGAGATGGAACAACTCTACTTGGGAAGGCGGCCATAGAAAAAGCAGTTAAGGGTATCACGGGTCATAATCCAGAAGCTATCATAGTTCAAAAGCTGCTTCTTGAGATTCGTCTGTGTGTCGAAAAGGAAGGGAAGGCTCTCTTTGATTGTTGATTTGTGGCTCCTTAAGCTTTGTGGCCTGTAAGTCTATTTTCCACATTCCAGTTACGAAGATTTATTTTTGTTATATCTGAATCTTTATCCTAAGCAAACGACTCCTATTCATTTCTCGCCCTCTAACAGGTTGGGCGCCGTCAAGTTTTCAATAACGAGACCATAAGACAGCTGGATGAACGACACTTGTTTCTTAGTCCTCAAGTACCATCTCATTCAAAAGTCTTGAGTGTTTGATTCCTGTAATAAAGTACTTCTCCTGTGCTAAATGTAAAACCCAACTTGTAGCGTAATTTATGACCCAATCTCTAATGTAAATTATATTACAAATTAGGTCTTATATTTAGAATCAGAGAAGTATCATTTAATAATAGTGATGTCTATGTTTGACATAAAACTGCCACTCATGTCTTCACCACATGATTTTCCTCGCATGATATCAATTTGGTATAGAATATTGATGCAAGTATATTTAAATAACTCAACACTTGATAATAATATCAAGAATTTTTTTAATTAAAAATAGGGTTAATATTATCTTTAGTCCCTAAAGTTTGACTTCATTTTGATTTTCATTCCTGAAATTTAACTTTATTTTAGTCCGCCTAAAATTTTCTGGTCACTGTAATTGTGTTTTTTATCCCTGAAACAAATCAAAACCCCTAATTTCAAATTTCAAAAACTAAAACTAAAGCGAGGTCAAATTTCATTGAGTAATTAAATATATCAACATTAGTCTAAAGCGATGACTTTACTTGAGTTTTAAAATTAATTTACGATGTAAGAGTAGGTATGCTTTTCCATGCCTTGAAAAAAATCTCAAAAATGAGTTGTGTCGTTCGTAAGTAGTGCGACTTGTCATAACAAATTTTCACATTAAAATCTACATATATAGAACAACTATAAAAGAAGATGAAAGGGTCACTGCACTTCACTTATTTGATATCTTCTTATCATAACTCTCATTTTACATCTCATTATCACCACTTGACTTTACTTATCTCACATTTAGTATCAATGAATTTTTCACATCTCAATTTAGCTTATAGCTAGGCTTTTGCCGCCCTCGCTAAATCATAAACAAAACCCGAAACTAAACAATAATAAAATATAAATTGATAAATAAGTATTGTTAAATATGTATATATGTGTTTGTGTTGTGTACGTGTTTGTGTGATTATCGACAAATCCGGAAAAGTTAAATTTTACGATTTCATATGAAAGTTTAAAAAAAAACAAAAGAAAGAAAGAAAAAGAAATCGATTTGTAAAATGAATGAAGGAGAAAACGGTCTCACATTCGAATTTATTGTTTTTGGCGGGTTGCAATTAATCGGTCACATTCTCATCAAATTTAAAAAGCACGAAAAAGAAAAAGAAATCGATTTGTAAAATGAATGAAGGAGAAAACGGTCTCACATTCGAATTTATTGTTTTTGGGTGGTTGCAATTAAATCGGTCACATTCTCATCAAATTTAAAAAGCACCAAAAACCTTTTGCCAAACTTTTTTTTTTTCACCAGCTCCGCCAAACTAAAAAAAGTATTTAATTTATTTTGTATTGACTCCATTAAATGAAGTTGAGACATATACTTTATTATATACTCACAGAAGTTAGGGAAAAAAACAAAAAACGTGACAATCAAACTTCGAAACGAATACTGACGTCTATTTGAATTATTATTAACAATCAGATTGTAGACTCGTTAGCAACATTTGCTGAAACCTTAACATTTTTAAAGTTGAAGCTAAATTAATAGTGTCCGCATCATTAGTGATTAGACGCCATAGAATAATCTTATAAATTAGAGATCTAGTCTTGGTCTTATTGGTTTTTTTTACTTATAATTGAAGAGACTAGAGTATTGGGCATTACAAATTATTCCAAGTTTCTTAGCATTCGTATATTACATCTTGAAATTTTTTCACCAAAAAATTAAAAAGAAAAAAATGCTGTCACATGATGTGGAAGTGAGAATCTGAATAATAGAAAGAGAGTAAGAGACGCAAGTGTTTCTTATTTGATAATTTTGTCACTACATGATGATCCCAATATTAAAAACATCAAGGGATATCGATCAGTGTTGGTCTTCTTTATTTATTACAAGAGATTAGAGTGTCGGCCATTTTAAATTATTCCAAGTTCCCTATCATTCATACAATTCTGAACAGTACTAAGCTTTTGACCAATATTACATCTTGATTTTTGTGCTGGAAATATGTATAAAAAAATTCCTGCACATGATTCTGAAGATGGCCATATATATAAAACCCTCACAGCTAGCACGAAATATCAAGCAAGAAAAGGCAATCAAATCATGATGAGTATCTTAAAGTAACTTTTGATATTTGGTGTTGGGTTAGTGGTGGCCTCAGTTTTGTACCGCTTCATCAACCACAATACAAAGGATTCAAGCCAGCTCACAAGTGCCGTCCAACTCAATCCAGGATTCGATTATTTTGTGTTCGCCTTGCAATGGCCAGCCGCTTTCTGCAATATTCAACGAAATAAGCCAAGAAATTGCAATCCAGATCCTCCACTGCCCAAACACCAAGATAAGTTCACGGTTCATGGACTTTGGCCTCAGTTGAATGGTGGGGTGTCTCCATTATATTGTTCACCAGGGCCTCCTATGCAAAATAGTGATGTAAACTCCCTTTTACTCATGTTATTTATACTTAAACATTTCATATATTACTTCTTGTTCCTTGTTAATACTCGTGTGTGTGTGTATTTGTACGTCAATGCAGCTTAGTGTATTCCAGAATGATCTGCTTGATTACTAGCTGGATTTGTTTTCTGCTCGAAATTTCCAAAGCAGCATGAGTTTTTGGAAAAGACAGTGGAACAAGCACGGAAAACGCTTTTCAAACAAGTTCAATCCACAACAGTATCTCCGAATAACGATTAACCTTGCAAGGAATCATGCGAAGCACATCTTTGATGAACTTGTTAAACAAGGTTAGGGGATCCAAGTTGATCTGTAGTCCCTCTGATCCTTATTATACGAGACTTTCTAGAGAGTCGTTTGGGTCTTTTTTTTTATAAAACCCCGTGATAGTTTCAACAAACATTACATATTTTTTCATATATGCTTATATTTAATAAAGGTAGTGAGAAAGAGTATAAATCAACAATCCTGTCATGATCCCAAAAGAAGTGGGCTCAGAAAATGACCCAAAAAGTGAGCCCAAATGGTACCGGCTTGTACGGCCAGAGGAGGAGATGAAAAACGCGAATATTCTGAGACTTGAGGCACCGTTTGGGTGACACTCCAAACCATAGTTTGGCGACCCAAACCATGGTTTGGGTGATAAGTCACCCAAACACCCACCCAATTTGCACAAACCGTGGTTTTGGGCCAAAACCGTGGTTTTGAAAAAGCAAAAATTTTTTGCTTTTGGAGAAAAAAGGGAGAGTGTGAGAGCCTATAGGATATGTATCTTGTTATTTTTTTTATAAACATATTTTTTTATAAACATATTTAATCTTATATTTTATAAATATATATACATATTAATTATTTATTAATTATATTATCTTATGTATTATTAATTATGTTAATAAAAAATATATTATTAACAATTTTATTCTTTCAAATTAAAATATATCATAAAATCTATTTTTTCTGTAATTATCATATTAACTTATGTCTTTTTTTTAGTAATTTGTATATATAAAAAGTGCTTCTGATCACAATTATCCAAACACTCTCACTTCTCAAAATCACTTTTTCATAACATTTATTCTTTCCCGAATATATTCTTCTCAGAGTCTATTATCCAGAATCACTTTTCCAAACCACGGTTTGGTTTCATCCAAACACACTCTTGGAGGCAGTATAATAGGGACAAAATTGCTTATGGGACGGATGTGGATGATTTTGGATGATCTTCTCTCTCTGGTCCCACTCTTGGGAATCCTCTCTCTATGCCTTCCGTCTCTTTCCCTCCCCTCCGTATCTTTCCTCTGCTTCTATCAGTTTGTTTACAATACTATTTGAATGTGTTCTCATATGCCTATAGTTATAACTGGCTTGAATATTAAATATATCCCTCCCGTCCATGATATATAAGCTGCTTCTAGAAGGATAACTTGATCCAAAAGATATGTCACTTGGAGATTAATTAGTGTTTATTTGTAATTTTTTTCTTATGCAATTAATGCTTAATTATGATTCCTTGTATTTTTCTCTTTCCTTCGCAGCCCCATTTAATTTGGGTAAAATTGAAAAAATATTCAGAGATAGATACAATAAGTTAACTACTAGTTCGTAGATTTGATGAGTAGTTAAGGTGACTTGTATTGTAAACTAAAGGGAGTAAGGTTGGAGTTTAGTATAGTCGATAGGGTAATGGTAGCAATGACTACTTGAATTTCATGACAAATTTGAGTAGTTTTAACTACTTGGGAAATTTAATTGAACAATCTTTTTTTTTTCCCTTTTTATCCAATCTTTTGCTCAGTTTCAGTGTTGGTCCTTCAGTAACGCTGTTACTTTATTGGTGATGTGGCACTAACCACTCCTCCCTCAGCCTTCCCCTCCACCACTCTGTCTTCAAACCGTCATATCTCTCATAGTTAATTTACTCTCTCTCCACCATCAACGTCCTTATCTCCTTTTGCATGATAAGCTTCACTGATTGTTCCAGATTCATCATTCCCTTCTCACAGCTGTAAAAGTATCCTCTTCCTCCTCCTCCATTCTTGCTAAGAAACAAGCTCTTTTTTTTTTTTTTTATGTAAAAATGCAACCTGTCTTTGTGGTTTAAGATTCTTCATCTCAGTAATGATGAGTCTGTCATTGATTCTATGGTTCGTCTTCTGATGCAAAATCCGACCCCAACTCTGTCCCATACAAAGGGATTGCGACCAACATGAACTGTGAGAGATGCTAGTGTTCGGTTTAAAGACTGACGGAGGAGGAGGCGGCGAGTGAAGAAGCTGCAGGAAGAGATGGTCAGTGCCACATTACCCATAAAGTAACAGCGTTATAACAGAAGCAGCAACATTAAAACTAAGCAAATACAATGGATTGGATAAAAGGGATGATGAAACTATAAGAACTATCAAATTAATTTTAGTGATACATGTGAATTAGTTAGAAGTTTCTCATAATAAGAACAAGAGGGAGTATATAATTGTGAATTGCAATAAATTTCTTGCTACTCGGATCGCATGAAATGATAACTTATTGGCAAGTAATTGGGTTTTATTTCATTATATTTAATTGGTTTCAGGAATCAAACCAGATGGAACTACCGCACGTCGGAAGGCAGATCCACGAGAAGCTGTAAAGCAGATCATGGGTTATTATCCAATGCTAAACATACAATTGAATGACTCAGGGGAACATCTGCTTCTTGAGATTCGTCTGTGTGTCAACAACGATGGGGTTAAAC